CTTTCCATACCCCTTTCCCCACCCCCCTGCTTTACTTAGGGAATATTTCCCACACCATGGGACAGCATGTGTATCTTTATGGCATTCCCAATTGGAAGACAGAATTGGTTAATTGATTAAAGGGTAAGAGCTGACAACTAAAAATACATTCATAATGTATAAAGGGGAGAGCCCTTCAAAGAGATAAAAAGCACACAAGCTAGCACCATATTTGATAAAATTCATTTATCCCTTATTCATGAAAAAAATCAAAGTCATGTAAAATATAAAGACAGCAAGACAAAAAAGACAAAACGGAAGCCAGAGTAAATGAAACATAAACTGCATGTTTAGAACTTACAAGAAAATCCAAGAGCTAATATTCCCTAAAATGCATAAGCTATAAAATTAAAACATAGGCTAATCTGTAACTGCACATCCATATCACTAAAGCATGTGCTTAACTACACTGCTAAATCAGCTGCATTTTAGAGGCTTGAGTCCTTAACGTTTAATAATAAACACAAGTACACAACTATGTCAGTGTCTGGTCAGTCATCCATTCTGACAATTATGTCACCATCTTGATCTCTCATTTCTCCCTCAGCCTCTCTGTGTCTCTGTTGGTATACTGGTGCATCAGCTTATTTGAATTTCTGGCTTACAAAATCTCTCATTTTTTCATTCAAATATCTCCTAGCACTCCTTTCTTAAACTAATGTGCAAGATGACTCAAGGATAAACACCCCTACGATCTAAAATTAAATCATTGTGTCTCTAAATATCAAAATCAAGTCATTGCCTAAGCAAATTGCTGCAAGCCTTGTTATTTTCATGTTCAGCCTCTCTGAACAGTTTATTATCCTCATTCATTGAGTCATATCTAAAATTAAAAGGTCAGCTCTTTGAGATATGGGTAATGTCACAGAATCATAATATTACCTGGGTTGGAGGGGACCTTAAAGTTCATCTAGTTGCAGCCCACCTGCCATGAGCAGGGACACCTTTCACTAGGACAGGTTGCTCAGAGATCTTGTTCCATAAAGGCACTACAACAGTTTTAAGAAGCGTTGATAATTTCAATTATTACAAAAATGCCTTAAAAGAGTGAAGGATCAACAGCTCTAGTAATTATCTTTCTAATTAGGCTTTGAATTAAATTCGAAATTCAAAAATTTCCTGATTGTTCAACCTAAATTCTGTGAACCTTTCAAATAAAAAATCCCACTTTCTATGTATTAACTAAAGTTTTAAGCTTAGTTTGTTCAAGTTATTGTCACCATCCCCTCTGAAATAGTCTCTACCAGTTATTTGCCTTATATATATAGAAGACATTGCTTCATTTGTTGTTAAAAAAATATCTGTCAGTATAGGAAGCTCTTAGGACTGAAAGATATTGAATATATGTGATTCTAACTGCCATTGTAACAGTCCAAGAATCTTCACTGCACCAAACAAAACAATTCTGTCAGGCTTTTAGTCCAATGACCCTTTGAAGAGTACAATCAAAGCAAACAAATACCAATTTTCAGACTTGTTTTCAAGCCTGAGTAAGATTTCAAATACTCCAGCTTTCTTAATCACCGCTTTAAAATTAATACATATATTAATAAACACATAAATAAGTGAAGATACAGTTTATAGAGGTAACTTTATAATGAAATAATCTAAAATCAAGACAATCACTTCAATGTGAAACATTCTGCTCTGTTCAGAACACATTTTCAAACTGCATTACCTATAGGATATTAATTACTCTATTCCAGTTAAGAGTAGGATTTACCAGAATGCTATTTGTACCTCAAAGGTAATGCAGTAGAGTTGGGTGAACTGAAACTAATCAGCATAACATTATATGATATCACTAGAACAGGTTTATTTTGAATACATTAATATTTTTGCTAAGATTTCCTCATGCAACATTGCTTTTGCACTTGAGCCCAAAAATTTCACATCAAGTTAAGAAATCTTTTTCTTTCTGACAGATTTGAGTTCTGCTTGTTAAATGTATATTTCTTTTCAGTGCTACAATTGGAATTTGCCTATCATCTATTAAAAGAATTGCCCCTAAGAGATGACCTCACAGTTTCTGAATAAGTGGATAAGAAGCCCAGTTGAACAGTGACTCAACCTTTAAATATATAGGTGTGAACTGTTACCTCTGTAATTACCAGTCAACTTCAATCTTTCCTAATTGAATTTTTCCTCCACTGGCACATACTTAAGGCTAACCCTTACTGTTTATTCTACAACATATTTTTACAATTTAAACCATTATAAGTTAAATGATAGTATTGTGTCTGAATACATTTGACAAGTTCATAGAACTTGGTAAATAATCAAACACCTCTCCCCAAAACTTATGTAGTAACTTCATAGTTCCTCACTTCCGAAACAATAACTTAAAAATACATTTGACTTTCATCAAAGTATTAATTCATCAAAATAACAAGGAAAATATGTAGCTCACTTAATCAAGAGTCTCCTGAATCTTAGGCCAATTCCAAAGTATTCTTCTTTCTGTATAAGAAATTTCAGAAGTCTATTATCTAAAATAATTGCATCAAAATCAGTTAATAACATAAACAACGTGAAACAAACACCCCCACCCCTCACATTTAAGAATGAAATTCTTTACTTCTGAGAATTTATTAATAAAATTCTTCAGACATGTATTGTCTAATATTTACCAGTAATTAAAGGTAACAACATCTATTACAATTGCTCCCAAATTTCTGTCATTAGTCACTTTGGTTTGCATTATTTGTAACTATGCCAAATATTTATCACCTGAATTGAAATTTGCCTGCCTCAGGACAAACATTTCAACTGGATTGACTCAGTAATTTAAAAGAACAAAGACTTACAGTGTTTAAGTTGTTCTTGGTTGTGCATATGCAGAAAGATTACTTGTATAATCACATATGATTTACCACTGAGAACTCTTTCAGGGTACAAGGATTGCCAGTATTTATAAGGAGTTATCATGTTTTAAGCCCATCTGGAAGTTAAACCCCACCCAAATGCTTTCCTCACCCAACCCCCTCTGATAAAAGAGAGAAGCAAAAGGCAGAGACTTCGGGTTGAGATAACAGTTTACTGGAAACAGCAATGAGACAAGAAAATTAACAGTAACAGCAACAAAACTAATAATAACCGTATAAAAGAGGGTGGTTACATGCAAAATGCTTACCAAAACTGACCAGATCTGACTACAGCTGACACCACCCCCATTGCTCCCTCCACCATATTTTTTCCCAAGCCTGAAACAATGAAAAAACATGGGAAACAAATGCCCCAGCCAGATTCAGCACCACTCTGCCATTCTGCCTGTTGTCTGCTCTCATGGAAAAGGACAAAATGGTTGCAGAATTTCTCCTTTTTTCTTCCACCCGAAGCCACTTCCCCTTCTTCTCAGGAGTGAGAAGCCCTTACTTCTGCCCTCCAGCAATAACATGAGTGGTAGGAAGTAAAAACCTAGACATATCCACAGGCTCCAGGCTCCACTCCCTCTCAACTACTGCAAAAAAGTTAACCCTGTCCTTGGCTGAAACTAGGACATTACCCACCCCTTTATTCTATGCCATTTATGCCATGCCCAGATCCTACACCTTCCAAATATATTCATGTATCCATCCTAGGTGTCTTCCAGGGCAGGAGGGCTGGTGTGCTGTTGAGTGCAAGCTACATCAGGAGATCACAACTGGTGTGTCTGGAGCAGTCCATCCTCACTGTTCATGGAGCTTATGGCATACAGTGGCAGTGTATATTATATAATATACAATTCAACATTATAGACTGTTCTCACCCAAAAATCAAATCCCCTTGTACCTACACACTGTGCTTCCCCGTCCCTCTGCTTTACCCACCAAGCGTACACAAGCCTTTGAGAGGAAAAAAAAAAACCTCTTTGCCTTTGCCTGAGGCAGGACTAACTCAAACTGTCTTCCCTAGTACATTCTTCATATGCATCACGGGGACTTTATCCCCTTTTATGGTGTGTGCAGATCTTGACTGGATAGAGTAAGCTTGGCTGATAGAGCCTCTAAACTGATGCCCTTTGTAAAATGTTGACCCCAGTATTTGAAGATCCCACCACTCATTGCTTTCAATCTGTTTTTTCACAGTCCATTGTACCATTCTATTGTCTCAGAGGCTGGTGCATGAGAGGGAGTATGAGATACCCACTCAATACTGTGCTCTCTGGCCCTGCTGTCTATGAGGTTGGTTTTGAAATGAGTCCTCTTATTCAACCCTCTTCTTTCTGGGGTGGCATGTCACCACAGGATTTGCTTTTCAAGCCCCAAGGTGATGCTCCTGGCAGTGGTGTGAAGCACAGGATACTTCTCCAGCCATCCAGTAGTTTCTTCCAGCATTGTAAGAACTCAGAGCTTGCCTTGGTGGGTTTGCACAATCAATCTGCCAGACCTCCTCATATTTATATTTTGACCATTGTCCCTCATACCATAGGGGCTTTACCTGCTTGTCCTGCTTGACATTTCACAGTTATGGATAACCTGAGAGATAGAGCCCATGGTTAAATCCACCCATCGATCACAAGCCCATCTGTATGTTGCATCTCTTCCCTCATGATCTGAGGTGCCATGGGCCCAAAAAGTCAGAAATAATTCACCCTTACGTTGCCAGTCCAAATCCACCTGAGACACTTTAATCTTGGCAGCTTGATCCACCTGTTGTTGCAACATTCTTCAGTAGCCTGACTCCTCAGTATGTGTGCATCTATATGAGGTACTTTTGCAGCCAACTTCTCTATCCAGGTAGAAATGTCTTGCCACAATTCAACAGGCTGTTTCACCTCTGTGCTACCAATTAATCTTTTTCCACTGGTACAGACACCCCCACAGTGCACTTGCCACCATCCATGAGTCAGTGTACAGGTAGAGTGCTGGCTATCCCTCATTCAGCCAAACCTAAAGACAACAGGATGCCTTTCAGCTCTGTGACCTGACTTGATCCACCTTGTTGCTCAATAGCTTCTGCAACTTGTCACATCGGACTTTGTGGGAAGATAGTTTGTAAGGGTAGTGCATAAGGTAATTTTCCTCAGTGAATTACAGCTATACCGGTTGCTGAGAAGTGGAGACAGCCTTGCCTGTCCAATGAAGATGGGTGTTTTTTTAAGAGTGGGCAAGCTGCTTGGGAGTCAGTTGCAGCTGGAGCTTGAGAACCAGGGTCTGCTGCAGTTTGGGATGGAGTCTGCTGGCTGTGCTGTGAAGAGGAAGGGACATGTGGTCATGCAAGGGACAGATAAAACGATTTTGTGTGAGGAAACAGACAGGGTTAGGTGGCTGGGTAAGGGACAGGTTTGGGTTAGCCAGTCATGCAGGAAAAAGGAAATTTGCAGAGAGAAGGGGAAAAGGAGTCAGAGCTGTGTGGAGCTGCCTGTAAGAAAAGGAGTCAGAGTTGCCTGAAAGAAGTCCACAGAGAGAAGGCACAAAAAGTTTTTAACAAAGGAATGGTAATGGTGCCAGTCATGTCCATCTTGACAACTGCAATAGGACTCCATACAGCAGATTTTAATTTTCAATGTATCCTTATGACATGGCAGGAATGATCAAAGAAGACAGAGTAAAGCTTTTCATTTTCAGGTATCTGACTATATGGCAGGGCCTCTTCGGCATGTGTCACCCACTTCTCTTCCCCTTCTGAGGACAATCTGAAATTCTCACCTTTGTGCCAAGTCATGATGACTTCCAAGATCCCTGGGCAATTGCAGTTTCCTATTCAAGGTCACTATAGGATCAGCATGACTCACATATTCCATGTAGCATCAGTGGCATATGTGGAAGGGACTTTTCCTTTGAACATCCAGCCCAGCATTGTCAGTTGAGGTGCCAGGAGGAGCTGTGCTTCAGTGCCCATCACTACTGAAGCAACTCAAACCCCTTCATAAGCTCCCAGGATCTGTTTTTCAGTAGGGGTGTAACAGGCTTCAGATCCTTTGTATCTCTGATTCCAGAACCCCAGGGATTCTCCTTGACTGTCCCTGGCTACTTTTTGCCACAGACTCCAGGAAAGACAGTTCTTTCTGGCTGCACCGTAGAGCACATTTTTATATCTTGTCCCATCCTGATTCTCTCATGGGCTAATGAATGAACAATCTCCTGTTCAATTTGTTCAAAAGCTTGTTGTTGCTCAAGAGCAGACTTGAAATCATTCTTCTTCAATGTCACATGATAAAGACAGTTTACACTCTGACCGTAATCTGGAATATACATACTCCAAAAATTCACAGAACCTAGGAAAGCTTGAATTTCCTTCTTGCTTGTTGATGCGAGTATAGCTGCTATTTTGTTGACCACATCCATTGGAATCTGATGACATCCATCTTGCCATTTTAGTCCTTAAATCTGAATTTCCTGGGCAGATCCCTTGACCTCACTTTGTTTTATGGCAAAGCTGACCTCCAGGATTATCTTCTCCCCTTTCTCAAAAACATCCTCTGCTGAGCTGTCTCATATGATGATGTCACCGATATACTGCAAGAGTTTTGGAGCCTCACCCTTTTCCAGATCAGTCTGGATCAGTCCCTGGCAAATAGTGGGGCTGGGTTTTGATCCCTGGGGCAGTCAGTTCCAGGTGTACTTTATCTCCAGGTGAAAGCAAGCTGTGGCCTCGGTTTCTTACTAAAGGAATGGAGAAAAATACATTAGTCATGTTGAGGATGACACCATTTTGCTGCCTTAGACTCCAGTTCATACTGAAGTCCCAGCATGTCCAGCACAGGAGCACTCAGTGGTGGTATGACTTTGTTTAGGCCACCACAGTCCACTGTCAGTCTCCACTCTCCAATGGACTCATGCACTGGCCATTCAGGACTATTAAAGGGTGAGCAAGTCTTGCTGAGCACTCTGTGGTTTCCCAGAGGATGAACCATTTCATACATGGGGATGACAGTGTCCCAGTTTGTTGTGGTACTGTCAAGGGTACATTGTTGTGGTAGCGATTGGCACCTGCTGTTTCTCAACCCTCAGCAGTCCCACAGCAGAAGGGTCCTTTGAGAGACCAGGCAAGGTGTTCAGCTGTCCAATTTCCTGTCTCCACAACAGCTATCCCAAAAGCCCAATAATGCCCTTTTGGATCCTTGAAATACCCTCTCCTGAGTTAATCTATGCCAAGGGTCCATGGGGTCTCTGGACCAGTCACAGTTGGGTGATTTTGCCATTCATTCCCAATCAGGCTCACTACAGTTTCCAGTGCTGTCAGCTTTGAGATCTCCCTGTCACCCCTGGATTCTATCCCTACAGATCTTGATGGCATCAGGGTACACTGTGCACTGGTGTCAACTAAAGCCTCATATTCTTGGGAGTGTGATGTTCCAGGACATTGGATCCGCAGTCCAATACATCCAATTATCCCTTTCCCACACCTGGCTGGAGACAGGGCCCTTCTAGTTCTGGTCATGGTGGTCATTGCTCACTTCCTGGAAATATGAACTGGATGTCCTTTCAAGAGCATTGAAAGTAACATCTGCCCTCCTATTCTGTCTGAGGACTTACCCACTGGAAATCGGAGTGGTATTTATCCTTGAAGAATTTCCTGCAGTATTTGTGCTTCCTCTCAACTCACACACCAGTGCTGCTAGGACAGAGGTGGGTTTTCCATCCCACCTCCATTTTTTCTCTCTATGGTAATGCAGGTAAAAACCACAGGTTACCTCAGTGTGTACTTTCTCTCTCATGCAGGGAGGGCTCTTGTTCCCAATAGCAAAGACTGGTCCATACTGGTGGACTATGGGACATTTCCTCTCTAGTTTGCTCAAGTCCTTTAAAACAGTCTTCAGTCTTGGACAGTCTTTCCTGGTTGAGGTGCAGGTCAGTAGAGAAGAAAAAAGATGGTCTTCATATTGCTGGAGTTGAGTAGTCTAAAGCTACCCAGCTGTTCTCCTTTCATTGACATCAGTGCTAATTAATTGGTGTACAGCAATGGCACACTTCCTATAAATTTCCACCACATGGATTGTGTATGGCACACTGGACCTCATTTGGATCTACAGGGGACTGCTCATTATTTGAATCCTTATAGACTCCCTGCAGCACAGCTCATTCTACCATATAAGTTTCTCCACACCATTCTACCTGCTTTAGAATCAAAATTGTTTAGATCAAAGTTGTTTCCAATACCCCCTAACCAGATCTGTTGTTACCTCAACCCTTTGGGACCCCATATTGGCTGTCAATTAAATGTAGTCCCAGTTTAAGCCCAGCTGGAAGTTAAATCCCACACATCTTCCCTTTCCCCCCATCCCTTCCAGTGAGAGAGACAAAAAGCAGACATTACAAGTTGAGATAGCAAACAACAAAATGGTGATGGAACCTCTGTGCACCACCTTTTTCTTCCAACCAAATCCCCATCCCCTTCTTCTTGGAGGGAAGAATCCATTAAATTCCTCTCCCCCCACCCCCACTGATGATGTGCACCAAGCCTTCAGAATTCACGCAGCATTTGGACAATGGTCTTACTCAAATGGTTTAGTTTTAAGCAGTCCTGCAAGGAGCAAGGCGTTGGATTCAAAGATCCTTCCAACCTGGAATAGTCTATAAATCTATGATTTGCAACAGAATCTATCATATGCAAACTTTTATGGTGGAGAGAAGGTCTGATTTGCACATTATTTTTCTTTTTTAAAAAATTTTCTGGCACACAGTTTTTTGCATTGTTTTGTTTGAGGGAATGGCACAGATCTCTTCATGTCAGTTACATGCCCACCTTCTCCTCCATCCCCTTGATCCAGAAAAATGACATAATTTAAAAAACAAGTATTCATATGTAAAATTGCATAGAATAATAAATTATAATAATCAAATTGCTTTCACTAGAAAGCTCTTATAAAATAATAAAGATCTCAGGCACATGGTACGATTCTCAGGGTGTCCTGCACAGGGCCAGGAGTTGAACTAGATGATCCTTATGGGTTCCTTCCAACTGAAGATAGCTTATGTTTCTGTGATCACACCTAATATAAAACTGAAAGGCATGTTGCTGAGAGAAATTCCTCCTGAGATGAAAGTTGATGGCAGTTGCTTTGAGAAATTAAAATGAGGTAATACAGTTTTAAAAATTTATATATCTAAACTTTGCTGCAACAAGTACTTGAGCCTCAAGATGGGACTAGAAAAAAAACTAGAAAAGACAGAACAAATGTGGAAAATCCAAATTTTTAATTTTGCAAAACTTCTGCTTCTGAAAGTTAATATTCTTTTTATGCCTGATAAAATATATCCACTTCTGTAACACAGTATAACAATAGTGTCACCTGGTGGTTAAGTTTACTAGTAGTGGCCTATCAAATCCATGTAGAAAAAGGGTATTAAACACTGCAAAATCTCTGATCTAAACAGTTGAATAAATTGTTTAAATTCATGAGTTATTTAATGCTAATAATCAAATTGTGATGTCATTAACTATAGTAAGTGGTGTTAGTATCATGGCAGTGGGTCAGAAAACCAGTAATTAAGTATTTTGTTATGGAAAGTAGATAGTTTGCCTTACATGACTCTTCCAGTGATTGATTCTACTGCTTTTGCTTTGAACTAATCATTCTATTGAACTAAATAAAGTATTTCAGGGGTAAGAAAATACAGAGGGTAGGAAAATATAGATATACAGAGCATAGATACATAGAGCATTTTTTGTGTAAATACGGCAGATTTTGGCTAATAGCTAAACAAATCAAGGATAAAGAAAAAGTAGAAATTAAACATTATCTGGGTTTTAGTTGGTACTAAACCATACTGTACATACATGTTGTTATTTTAGTTATAGAATACAAACTCAAAGAAAGATATCTTCATTTTGGAACATATTTAGATGTGATAACCCTTAATTCTTTAACCTTTCATAACATTATGTTGATTCTTAAATTTCAGCATTCTCCTCAGATGAGTTTTTTCAGTGCAGCAGAAATATAATGTGTTTACTATAGCTTTCAACTGCTTCATGTTTATAAAACCAATTTCTTAGGTGTCTAAAGTAGTGGAACCATGAATTAGATTTTATAACCTCTGGGAGCCATTTCCATGACAAAGAAAGGATTGGTTTCACTCCTTTAGCCATTAGTTTGCTTTCTCTCTCGCTTCTTATCCTTCCTTTGAGCATAATATGAAGTACTTGTTGATTATACTGTTTGCAACACCACTTTCTTCACTTTTCTGAAGAAAAGTCATGTGCATCCAAAGAGTTCTTTAATAATGGAAAAGCCTGAAGTGCTGACAGCATAAAGTTATCTGCTACTTAGAAACGAGAATTAAGAAGGCTATGAATAATTACTTCCAATAATTTCTTCCTTGATATGGCACTTCTCCTAATATTAGAAAAACATCACTTGATTCTGCCAGGATACAGGAACTTCAGTCTTCTAAACATCAGTCAGAAATATAAGATGGGTTACACTTTGAGCTGATTGACTATCAACATGTATAGTAATTATGTCAAGAGACACAGCTGGCACCATCACCAATCCTATATTAAAAAACTTTTCATACCTTCTCTCAGATAACTCTTACTCCCTTTTCATACAGGCAGCTCTGACTCCTCTCTGCAAGTTTCCTTCTTCGTGACCAGCTAAACCCCAACCTGTCCCTTACCTCCTCACAGCCAGCAGACTCCATCCCAAACTTCAGCAAACTCTGAGTCTCAAGCTCCAACTATAACTCACTCTCGTCCAGCTAGCCCACTCTTTTCTAACACCCATCCTCATTGGGCACAAAAGGCTCTTTCCACTCCTTAGTAATCAGTACAGCTGTAATTCATTGGGAAAAATTGCCTTCTGCACTATCCTTACAAACTATCCTCCTACAAACATGGACCTCTTGTTATGAAAACCACATTAGATCTTTAAAATCCATTTGTTTTCTACAAAACTGCAGTTTTCTCTTGCTGGAAGCCATTTTCAGGCAGTGGCTCTGTGAACGCAGAGTGCACTCTGATGTCTAATTCCAAGTTGCTGCAGATAGGTGAGAAAATGCATCAGTAGGAAAACTGATGTTTTGGGGTTTTCATGCTAAAATAGTTGATCAGATTCTGTGGACACACAGGTTCCTCTCACCTCTTGAATTTATCACTCTGAGATAGATTCAGTAATTCTTATGTTTCAATTCTCTAAAATAAGGAAACTACATATGCTGCAGAACTACTATTTTGAGTTCTTGGTGTTCAAAGTTCTTTGAGGCTGTATTTTACCATTTCAGTGTTATTCTTCTGTCCTGCAACACAGCTTCAGAATAGACTAGGAGATGTTTGTTACCGTTCTCCTTGGATCATCAGCTACATAAGAACTTAAGTATCTAGACAGAAATATGAACCGTGAAGAAGATAAACACTTACATGTTACTTTGACATAAGTTATAGCCAACAAGGAAATTTCGATTACATGTTATTCATTTGTTTGTACTCTCTATAATGTGTGCAATCAAATGAGTACAAGTTCTCTTCGTGGAAATTACTCGTCTAGGGGCTGTGATTGTTTTACAGACAGAAGGCTGACCAAACAGCTTTATTCTCTTAGAGCTCCTTAGATTATCACAATACAGGTGGTAAAGCTTTATTAAGGAAAAAAACCCAAGAATTTCCTAGAGCATCATCATTTTGATTCTTTTTCCTCATCTGTGAGACTACAGTGTGGGTTCTGCCTCTGACTTTCCATTACTGTCCCTCCCCTGTTTTTTTCATACCTTTTGTTTTGATTTGATCTTACTCATGCTGGAATGCTGCAGAAGAGGAGAAAAAAAACATTCATCTTCTTAACTGTTTTCAGCCACTTAAATCAGATAGGTCTTTGAGACACAAGGGTCAGTAAACCAAACAGTTGCTTTTTCAGAACAGAAATTTAAACACCATTTTGAAGTTAGATTATGAAATATATTTATACCACTTTTTTTTAACTTTTCAAAAAGACAAGCCCAAAGAGAAAAAATGAAATACAATTAAAATATATATTTGAAGATAAAAGGAAGCATAAGGCCTCTTTTACTTTATTTAGTTATTCAGTTACCCTGACTGGGAACATTTTGAGCTTAGAGGAATTCATCTGTGCAACAGAAGAGCAGACCAGAAAAAAATAAAAAAAATCTGTTTGTTTTGGCTTAGCAGAAATTGTAAACTTGTTTTGGCTTAGCAGAAGTCAGGATTTCAATATACACAACCTAGCTCATTGAGTTATTTTTTTTTCTTATTGTGTGGAAGCAACATCTAGCGTTCATAGAGAAGATTACAGTAAAGAGTAAAACCTAAGCCAAACCATTATACATAACAATGTTTTTAGTCCAGGCAATTTCCCTTTAGCTGTTGTCAGGAGCAATGTCCCATACTTTATACAAAGTTCAGGCTGCTGGTCACATAGATGATTTACAGTATTACCCATCCTACAAAATATACTGAGAGAGTGCCTTACTTTATAGATCATATGTACCTAGTCTAAACTGTGAATATTTGATAATGTTTCCTTGATTTTAAAATTGTTTTTAAATCCGTCTATATATAAACATAAACATCAGTTCATGTATAAACATGTTCAAATACATGGGAAAATATCATTTGGTAATAATTTCCCCCTTCAACATAGCTATGGCTCACAATTCATGTGGCTTGAGCTTTCAGTTGGTCAATGCTTTCAGAGTACATTATATCCCTTACATAAAGAGCAGTAGGAAAGTTGTTTGCTAATTGTTTCAAAAGAGCTGAGCCAGTTTAAGAATAGGATGCCAATCTGCTCGTGATTATGCTGACATCTAGGCTCAAAGCCAATGAAGAAACAAGGAGAACCTTTTCATCAGCTGTGTTGGACTGCTCCTAAGATGGTACCAAATGCACTCAGTACTGTTTATAAAGGCAAAGTCTGAACTGTGGCAAACAGTATAAGACTCCTATACCTTCTACAAGTTACTGACCATTAGAGGCCCTGAAGATCTTAGTTCATTTTCAAAACAGACCCAGAAGGTTATTTTTTAAATGGAACAGGTCAAGACATAAAGGAAGAAAGATGACTTAGTGATGTCATGACATGATTCAGAGGCCTCAGAATATCTAAAGTAAGCATAGTATGGAAATAGGAAGTCATGATTACTAGGGAAGTTTAAGATGTTACATTTTCAGGTATCCCCAGTTCTAGAATAATTTCTTCCTTGCAAATATGAAATGATACTAGAGTTCTCAGTATACCCAGAAACAGGTTTTCAAGATGGCATTATTACAATTGTATACTTCTATTCCACCAGTATGCACTTTAAAAAAGATTAATTTTCTACCCTTGTTTAACTTTTAGTACTAGCAAGGACTGTCTATCCCTTCATCAGCATCAATTGAAAGGAGTATATTTTTTAATAAGTTGAGTGTAGTTTCCCTTAGCCTGGCAAATTTTTTCAGGAACAAATTTATATTGTTGCACTATCCCTGGAAATTATGGAAGGGACAGAGATGTCCTAGTCCTCAAAAAGATAATAAACTCTAACAAAGTCTGCATCTGCCACATTTTTTTCTCTCAAAGTAACTGTGCTGCAGTGGAGGAACCACTTACCTGCACTCTACATCCCTCCTACCCAAATGCAAGTATGATCATGGAAACTGATTTTACACATTGGACGTCTTCATAGTCCTTTGAGCAAGTGCACTGTAAGCTGATATGTTCCAGTTTTTCAATATTTTTGCATTGAAGGCTGGTGTGCACCTGAATAAACAAAAGCCAGATTAATCTTTAAATTCAAAGAGTGATGAATTTACTGCAGTTTTCAAAAGAGATCTTTCATAGATTTCTAACCTCATTGTCATTTTTCACTTGCTTTCCCTTTCCATAGCCTTCTGAAACCAAAACCCAGACAGCAACAAGGCAGGTAGGAACCAAGTGCTACTTTCCTTGGTTCTAAGACAGTTTATGTAAGACATCATGAACCACACTTCACTAGCATATTTCTTCCATCTACTAGCTGATACACAGCACACCATCCCTGTGTGTCCCTTCATTGTTCTCCCTCTGTCATGCTCCGTGTCTGCACAGAAAAGAAGCACTGAGATTGGTTAACATACAAAAGAGATTAGGCTGGATGGTTGCTTTCAGTAAATCACATAATCTATTGACAGTTCATTTAATGAGATTTACCAATCACTCATGTTTAGACAGACAAGGAAGAAGATATTTTCTGGCTACTACATGCCAGCCTCTCCTAGAAATATTACTTTATAGAATATGAAATTCCAACATCAAAGCAAAATTAACATAAATAATTCCAGTAAAATTCCCCAAACACCAAGATTTCAGATATAAACCTGACCAGGAATCCAGACTGATTATCAGAATTATAGTTCAGTGAAGTTTAATTCAACAGATTGCTCATTAGCAACAGTAACCATTGACACTACTTGTAAAGCACTGAACTGCATACCCTGTTTTCTCTTTAGAAAGCAGTCAGTTCCATGAGTTATCCAACCAGCTATTTTGGAGGTCTATTCATTAGCAGCAGAATAAGAACACCATTTGACTTATTAGAAGCTATGCCTGTAATTTTCAAAAAGCAGAGCCTTGAGTTGGTTCTAAAGATCTTTAGACTGTCTGCGTTTATTGGGAAAAACGCCCCAAGCACAGTCAAACTGCAAAACCACTTAGAATCCAGTATGAGTTCTTTGAACACATTTGCTTGTTATTTACTCTGCCATATTTCTGAAGCAGCAACAGTGTTAATGAAAACATAAAACATATGCAAATAAAAACAAATAGGGGAAATGCAATGAAACCTCTCAATGTAATTAATTTTACTTAATATTTACATAGCATTTCAGAGTTGGAGATCACAAAAAATGATATTTGAATCAATTTGAGGTTAATGGTACTTTCTCTTACACTTCGGAACAAAGGGAAAAAAACCAAAGTCCTCTGTCATGTCACAAAAAGGCAATGAAGATTATGGCTCCAGTTTAGAACATTTGTCACCCTGCTCAGTGTGGGGGCATACCAGTATATCATGGCCTAGGTTAAAAAACAAAAATGGCATCTTTTGCTGTAAATCAGAAGTACAATTCAGACTATATCAGCATAGCCAGGCAAGCCTGTTAGCAGCACTAGAATCTGTCCAAGGCTCAAAATTTTGCCTTGTAGCTAAGTAGGAACTCAGTAGTAGCAGCAGTGTCATAATATGTATCAGTTCAGCTAACTATTTTCAAATTTGTTCACATCTACCTGTTCACTTGACAGTGATTTACTTGCACTACAGTATATATGATCTATAAATACCCAAATTTGAAATCTTAATTTCTATTCATTTCAGCATCATTTTAGGTTAACCTTCTAGTGAAGGAGTATCATGTTTGTTTGTTATATTATTCTCTGTGTTATCCTCAGACTTCTCCCCTCAAGCACGAACATGTTGCATCTACGGTTCACTTTCTGTCTATTACTCAACACATTATTTTTCTGAACTCCAGAAATTCACCAGGATTTCATAAGAAATTTCTCCTGAATTTTTTAGCATTACTTTCCTTTCTTCTCATTAACACAGAAACTTCTCACTCTGGACCCAGCTTTAAAAGTTCTCTTTCTTGATCCAACTGCATGTGTGGGTCTAGTTTACTGAATTATCTAATATCTCTGGGAATTATTAATTAATTTTTACTAATATATTAATTCATAATTAATCTGGGAATTATTATTATTAAATTAAACATTATTTTATGCATTTGAAGTGCTGAAGATTGTCTTTTGTCTTTCTAACTGTCTACTTGTTGGCATTTGATCTTCATGTCTTACTGTTTTCTTTATATTATGGGAGGATTTGTTTCATTATCCTGATGAAAAACACCCAAAAAACCCCAAAATCCTAAATCCTCATACAAATTATTTGGATCAGAATTTTTAAAGCTGATTAGTTGTGTGTACTTTCTTAACATCCTTCTGCTCCACTTAGAGCATTTATAATATTTAATTATATTTAATATAACGTTCATTAGCTGAAGTCAATTAACTCTTTCTGGACAAATCAGCCTATTTAAGAAAGCTGAAGTTCCATATCCAAAGTGGAGATATCCATAGTTCTTTCTTTTATTCTGACATCTGGTGATAAATTAAAACAGGCAGATTCTTTTTTGTAGAAATGGTGTAATAAACCATTCACAGTGTAAGTTCTGCAAACAGTGGTGCCAATTTTATATGTTACAATGGGAAGTCCCCATTGACTGGAGGTTACTTAGTGTGATGCCCATCTACAAGAGGACTGGGAAGGATGATGTAGGAACTGCATGCCTGCCAGCCTGACCTTGGTGCCAGGGAAGGTTATGGACCAGCTCATCTAGAATGCCATCTCATGGCATGTGCAGGATAACCAAGATCTCAGTCCTGGACAGCAGGGGCTTGTGAGAGGCAAGTCCTGCTTGACCAACCTGATTTTCTTCTATGACAAGGTTACCCACTTATGGAAGAGGGAAAGTGTGAATGTTGCCTATCTATACTTCAGTAAAGTCTTTCACAGTGTTTTCCCACAGCATTCTCCTGGAGAAATTGGCTGCTCATGGCTTTCAGGTACACTGTTGACTGGGGAAAACTGGATGGATGATATGGCACAGAGCATGGTGGTGAATGGAGTTACATCCAGCAGACAGCCAGTCATAAGTGGTGTTCTCCAGAGCTCAGTTTTGGGCTTCAGGCCTGTTTAGTAGTTTTATTGATGATCTGGATGAGGGAATCAAGCACAACCTCACTTTGCAGACAACACCAAGTTGGGCAGAAGTGTTGATATGTGTGAGGGTAGGAAGGTTCTATAGAGGGATCTGGACAGGCTGGATCCATGCACCAAGGCCAGTTGTATAAGGATCAACAAGACAGGTGCCAGGTGCTGCATTTGGATCACAACAACCCCATGAAGTGTAACAGGCTGGGGGCAGAGGGGCTGGAAAGCTGTCCAGCAGAAAAGAACTGGGGGGTCTTGGCTGGCAGCTGGCTGAGCATGATCCAGCAGTGTGCCCATGTGGGCACAAGAAGCCCCATGGCATCCTGGCCCATGTCAGAAATAGTGTGGCCATCAGGACCAGGCAAGTGCTTGACCCCCTGCACTCAGCATTGGTTGCATCAGACTGCACTACAAATCCTGTGCTCAGTTTTTGGCCCTTCTCTTCAAAAAAGACACTGAGGTGTCAACAGGTAGAGCGTGTCAACAAAGTTAGTGAAATGTCTGGAGCAAAAGTTTTATGAGGAGCAGCTGAGGGAGCTGGGGGTGTTTATCCCAGAGAAAAGGAACCTCAGGGGACCTTATCACTCTCTACAACTACTTGAAAGGAGGTTGTAGTGGGAAGAATGATGGTCTCTTCTCCCAATAACATGCATAGAACAAGAGAAAATAGCCTCCAGTTGCATCAGGGAAGCTTTAGACTGGATATTAGTAAAAATCTCTTCATAAAACTGTAATCTAGCATTGGAACAGGCTGCCCAGGGAACTTGTTGAGTCACCATTCCCAATGGTATTTAAAAGACGTAGATATAGTGCTTAGGGACACAGGTTAATGCTGGGATTGACAGTGTTAGATCAGTGGATAGGCCTGATGGCATGAAAGTCCCATAACAACTCACCCAACGAGACTTTTAACAGGGCTTACAGTTGTGCATGTACTCTGAGTTAGACACATGGGAGAAATACTGACAAGATATTCTCAAGAGGTCAGAGCAACAAACAGAATTTTACTGGCCAATTTAGAAAATCATTGAACTTTGGCAAAAGGTTTTTGTGCAACATTCAATCAACATAAACACTTTTCTTAGGATTAACCTGGCCCATCCAACTTTGCAGACTCTAGGTTCATTTGATTTTAAGTTACTCAAAAATTCCAAGAAGAGAGAATTAGAAGAACGAGAAAGAGACAGGAAAACACACATATAGCTGCCAACTCCTGGATTCCAGCAGCATTCAGATGGAAATTTCAAGGGAAAGTAGGGTCAAGACACATGCTTGTCTCATGTTCAGCCTTAAATACCCCTTGGCCTTCCTGTGGTGTTCCCCCAGGTGAGAATTCCAGTCATACAGCCTCTCAGGAGCTAGGCTGGAGCTCCAGAGGCGGGTGTGGAGCATTGCCTCTGGTGTGCCAGGGGCTGGCAGGCTCTGCCAGGCTGGGATGCAGGCTCTAGGGATGGGGTGTACAGGGCAGGGCATTGCCTCGTTAGAACAAGGCCTGACCTGCCCCCTCCTCTCCCACATATGTATCCCAAAACGTCCTAAGATATCAATCTTTCTAGTCTTTCACATTATATTAGAGGTCTTTTTCAACATTACAGTATTCTGTCATGCTGTAACCACTCTGATTGTTATGTAGTTCAGTAGTTCAACAGTCAGAATTTGTCCCAACTGATTTTCTACAAAAACTAGAAAAAAGTAATTAAAGAAATAAACTCTTGGATAAAATACAAGTGAAACATTCATATTTTTGGTTTCTCGACACACTTTCTGTGCAATGGCACTGAAAAACTTACAAATGTGAAAGTTTTTGGCACTCAGAAAAGAACTTTGTTTAATGTTCATGGAAATTTTGGCCTGTGTCTCCTCTTATTTGAAACAAGACCTACCTCTTTGGTCACATTAAAAACATTAAATTTATGTCATAACAGCAATTGCATATCTCTGTCATCTAGATACATATTTTAAAGAGATCTAAACACTACTTTTTGTTCTAAAGCCAATAGGATACTTCTGAAATAAATATTTATTTGTTCTGATAATACCATTGATACAAAAAGTACAGCCATAGCTTGAGGGTAAATTTGTAAAAGCATCTATTTATTCTCAAAGTACCGTCAAAAGAGAGTTTATTTAATGTAAACAATTGTCTTTAGCTATGCAAATATTAAGCTATTGGCTTTTCTTTGAAGTCTTAACAGCATCATAGTCAATAAAGTCAAAGGCTGCAGAGCCTTTGACTGCAGAGTGTTTACAGATGGATGTAACTGCATTAATATCCTAATTTGAACTCTCTCAGCAGCTTGTTATCCATCAGCCCAATGGCTGCTGCCTCCCACATTATGAATAAGTCTGAAACTAAATGAAAAGACATTAGGGTTACTGTAGAAAGGAAACTGGTTTTCACCTTGGCTTCTTGATAACCTCACATAGCAAGCAAGATTAGAAATTGTTTTCAACATGTTGAAAGTTGTTTTAAGGTATAACTTGCAACATATTGTGGGTAGTTTGACGGCAAACAATCTTCCATAAATTAAACATTTCCACCTTTTTAACAACACTCTCAAGTATTTTGCTTTTTAACCAAAGAGATTTGAGCAGTTTAGCATATCTGCTAGCTCAGACTTCTTCCAGTCCCTTCACAACCTGTACTTGCATGGCTCGCCAAAGTTCAGACTAAAGTTCTACACCTTTTCCTTTTTTTTTACAAGGCTAGAGAGAATGTCTAACATTTTCTTGCACAAAGAGTCAGAAAGGTACTTCCAGCAGTCATATATGCTACAATATTATTATTTCTAAGTGAAAATCCCTCGGTTTATGTATATAAACTTTCACGTGGAAAAAACAGATACTGTTGCAAGATTTTTTTTTACAAAACGGAAAGAATAGCAAAACCTGGAGTTCTCCATTAATTAGAAAAGCAAAGCATTATCCCCATAAATAGGAATCCCCTAACAAAAAGAAAATTATGAGATAATAAGAAATTTACTTTTCTGTTTTATTGGCAAAATTAGCTGCATTTGAGGATCTTAAGAAATGTTTATTTAGTAAAGTTTGGCAGGTTTTAAAAAGTAACAAAATAATGAAAGTATTTGATGCAGTGAAAAAGTACTTAAGATCCTGTTGAATATAGTACAAATATATTCTGTAAACTGAGTGGCTTCATTTGGCTATTAAGGCATTATTTGTGGTTTATAGAAAGAAGGAATACAAGTTCTTAGAGGGTATAAATATGCAGCATTTTACTGCTGATTTCTATAAATTAAGGATCTGACTCCCATGGTGAATAAACAGATACATTTTATTGGAGATGCTCACTGCTACTTTTCACTTAAAAATCAGTTAAATCATTCCCATATATTCCTTTCCAAAGGTAATGGAAAAGAACTAAATAATCCTTAAACATATACCTCCTTTAAACACTGCAGCTCAAGCCTCTAAAAAAAATCATAGTAATAGAATTATGTTGCAAATTACAGAATAAAGCATGCTTATTTTTGGTCAACAAAATGGTCAACAAACACATTTTTGTGGGCTTGCCCAGGAACTGCTCAAGACAGCTAATAATCTAACATAAAAGCTTGAATAAATATCCACAAACCAGGGTAATTTGTATGGGTATAGTATGTTTTTCCTATCCCCATTAACAATTGCTTTGAGTTGATGAGCCCACCCACAGTGAGATCATTCTGGGAAGTCAGCAGGGAGAAGGAGACAAACGTAAACTAGAAACATATCTGGGAATATCTGGTTTTAAGGATAGGATAAATGGAAGACACACCCATTATTACAGATGGTAGCTTTTCTTAACAGACCAAAATACACTTAACATTGGAGGAAATGAGCCTGCTTTAGCACATGGGCTAGTCTAGATGATCTCCAGAGACCTCTCCTAACGCTAACTATTTTGTGATTTTGTGATTAATTCACTGTCTGGTAAATTTTCACCAACTTTTCCCATTTTAGTATGTACTTTAACATTAATGAAGCAAGCTTATGCCTCAAATAGCAGAAGGATCAGACCACAAACTGTTTTAACCTTAGTATTTGCAATGCCTCATGTTGTGACTTGCAAGGCTAAGCAATCTTTTTCATCTTTTTATAACTTATTTCAACATAGATGCATCCATAAATCTGTAGACTAAGACTGTATTATGAATCATTACTAGATGAATAATTTTTTCTTGATAATTCATCTGTTCCTGTTCTTACAGTAAATACTATTTATGATCAAATTACTACTTCAGTCAAAATATGAGTCATACCTGGATAGACATTCTTACTGGGGGAAAAAAAAAGGTCTCTAACTGATGAGCAATATAATTTTACGTCTCCCTATATCCTCCCCCCCGTTTGCAAAGGACACTGCACAAAAGTTTTAAAGATATTTAAGCATGCTATGTCCTGTTACAAAACAGGGGCAGTAATCTGTCAGACCTTGATTCTCTTCCTGCTAACTTCAAATGGAGCAGAACTACTTTGCTGCAACCCAAATCCTGGCAAAGAACCTACTTCTTCATGCTGTTTCATGTCTTCAACAAACTCATTACATTGATCAGTATTAAATTCTATAATCAGCATGTACATCTCTCCTACCTTAACTTACAGTTTAGTGAATTCTGATTCCATAAATTTGTTTTGTTGCATTTGCAAACATGCAAGTTTAGTTTGGATCAGGACTGCTTTTCTGAAGCTAATCTCATCGGTTTCCTCTTGCTGCAGTTTCTTTCCATCATGAAGCAGTTTCACAGCACGTAAATGGAATTCCTTTGGATGAAACTAAATCAGTAGGAACAGTCCAAGAACCCAACTACATGGTCCAGTTACCTGGGGAAGTGCAGTCCCTGGGACCAAACCAGAGCTGGTCTGAATTAAGAAAAATTCTCAAAACTTGTATAAAAAATTCTTACTTGAGTCTCTGTACCAACTGTTTCACGCTGTGTACTGACTCCTCCTTCCTCTTGTTATTTAATGACAAAGGCATAACTTCAATTATTTTGATCAGCAGACAATTACATCTGCATCTCATTTGAGTCTGCATGTTTTAAGCGTGTCTTTGTAGGAGATTCACCTACAACTCTTGAGAGAGGGAGGAGGTGAGAGTATGGGGGAGAGGTTGTAGAGAGCAAGTAGGCTGGGAGAGAATAAAAGGGAAAGGGGAGGAGAAGTATAGGGAGAGAAAGAGGGGGACTAGGAGAAGAAAAAGAGGCAAATGGAAAGAGGAGAAAGAGATGAAGGAAAGATGGGAGAGGAAGTAGAAGATAAGAAAGAAGAGGAAGAGGAAAGGAGAGAGGGAAAGAAGTGGGGGTGAGAGAAAGACACAGGGAGGGAGAGAGGAAGATACCTCCTGAAAGAATTAATTAAAACCTGCAGGTAAAATGCTGTCTAGAGTTTACTTTTTCACTATATCCTGAAAAAAAAATCTAGATAACAAACTTGGCCAAGATACCTAACTTTGAGATGAGACAAATCACCTAGTTAATAGCTTTGGTGGGATTTAGAATAGAACAGTTTCATTGGAGGTAGCCTACAACCATGGCCTAGTTCATCAACAATCATGTAGAAAGATATATAGCCCATTAACATTGGGATGGCAGAACCTAATAAACTATAAACTTCATAATTATTATAACTGCAACTTCTGTGACAGCTAGTATTGTTTCCTTTCAAAGCTTTAATTTGCCTTAATAAGTCTTTGGTTTATGTTTTTTGTTTTAAATTATGTTATTTCATACTTATAGTTTCGCCTACACTAATACTAACCAAAGCTGCTAAAAGAAACTATGAATTTTATTCGAAAATACAATAAGCATTGTATCTTTTTTCACTGTAAACAGTATTGTGTATGCCTGGTGAGCCTCTTTCATCTCTGTACACGCTGTTACCACAGGCTGGAACATATCCATGAAGTATCAAAAATGCCCTTTTTGCAGGTGGGAAAGATAATGCATTGTGGGTTGCTTTTCTCTTTTGACTCACAGAGAGAGGTAATATGGTTTGGAGAGTCTCAGTGGGGGCACTGAATTGAGGAGTACAATTCCTAAACCATGACAATAAAGAAAACATGTTTTCCTAATGGAAAACCATCTGAAATATTTTTTTCAGTCCTCCAGTCAACTAAATATATACTCAAAGTTACATGTCAGCATTTAAACAGTGGGTATTTTATACCATTAGATTTTAAAACATATGCAAGCAGATTTCCCCATATTCAGAACAAACTCAGAAAATGTCAAAAGCAAAAGAACAACTGCAAAAATTGCATAAGGGATGAAATTGCATTAAATCAATGTCGTTAGGTTGTTTTATTTGCAATAAGCATGCGTGACAACGTACATAACCTCACAGTACTCCAGAGCAGATAGCAGCAGCAGACTTCTAGAAGCCTGAGGGCACAAGCTTTAGTTTCAAAAATAATTGCTCCTCCCTGCCAAAGTCTGTCTCACTTTGACTGCAGAGTCCTACAGTGAGATCCAGCACAGCCGTCAGGAGCCAACACTCAGGGGTGTGAGTCATGGATCAGGTTACAGGCAAGGCCAACTGTAACCACATTACTGAAAACACCATATCAAATCTGCTGCACAGGTTATAGCCAGGCCAGCTCTCCTAAACAACAAGCTTCTGAGTATTGCTGGAATATTACTGTACGTAGACAAAGCTTCAAGGAATAAGAAATTTCTAATAAGAAATTAGAATATGAGAGAATTTTAAAAAACAATCCAAAAAATAACTAGTAGGAGTTCCTACTTGTGGAAACAAAATAAATGAAAATTCAACGACTATAGCACTCCAAACAACAACCAGAAGATACATCTAGACAGAACTGTGTTGTAGATATAAAGCTTTCTGAAACAACTTAAGAAAACAGCTTAGCTGACTTTGTATGATGTGGGATGTTGACATGTTTCTCAAATGAAAACCATCAACAAGCAGCCCACCTAAGTTATTCTTTTCTAGTGTGTTTAAATCTAGTGAAAGCATCCCCACAGTGTTAATCTATGCTGTGTAAGAGTGTGCTCTTAAATACTTGTGCACCTATGGTGAAATGCAGACTGGTCATGCTTTTTGGTGTAGATCTTCATAATAAGATTAAGTTTAGAGCCCATACTGGCAAAGAGTTCATCTCAATGAGACAAGAAACATGGCAGAAAAATTAACAAAACATCTTACTGCATTCCTGTTCTCTCCTAAAGAGAAAACCTCAACAATTTTTGGGACATCCACTAGCTGATTAACTCCATTATGTTTTAATTTTGTTACACCTTTGTGGTGTCTCAGTGTCTCCACATTGTGAAGACACACTGATGCAGTTAGATTAACAATATGTTAGGGGATAATATTAAATGACAGTTTCCAGGCTATATTAGGTTGGTAATACTGGGATGATGGATTAGATTCAAACATGGTTAAAACAATAAGAAGAAGTACAACTATTTTCATCCCTTTCACTAGCATTCTTGCAATTAATTTCAAAGATGCTTAGAAATTTGGATTACTTGACTATAAATTTTTAAATGTCACTATTATTTATGACAAATTTAGAGCAATGTAGTATCAGCTACCATTTATCCACACTCAAGAATGGGTGAAGAGCAGCAGTGGTGGAAGATCATTCAGGCAGTTTTTAAAAGAGTCTGAATGAGCAAAGTATTTTACTATGTTCAGGACAAACTAGTAGAGTTTTCTATTCTCTGTGCTACTCAATTTATGACAGGAGCTTCAAAAACATTGAGAAAACATTTGTGGATCTTTAATCCTTATATGAATTCACCACTTGATCTAGCAGGTGGTGTCTAGGAAAAACATTTACTACGTTGCAGTGACTTTCAAAGTCACCAAGCAGCCTACAGACAAAACAAAAATAGTATCTGCTGTAGTCTTTGAAAACTGATAATCAAATATTACACTAAAATAGGCAGATATGAAATGGATCATAACTAGGGGAAAAGCACAGAGTGATCAGCTAAATGTGCATTTTGAATAAACACTTCAGAGTCTACAATTTCCTACAAAAACCTGGCTACTTATATTTAAAAACTAGCATAATACATACATTTTGAATTAGATACCAGAGGATTAATAAAACTGCTGTCAGGCTAAGTGATGTCTGTTTCCAAAGCCTCTTAAGAAAAAAAAAAATCCTTGTCCCCAAGTGCAACAAAGTCCATGTGTACATAGAATGTGAGTACATGCATTCCCAACAGAGCTCAGCATATTCTGCCATACATTTTACCATAGTGGTATTCAAACCATTTTAAATTAAACCTTGTGTTAAATTTATGTGCTATCATTATGACTTACTCAGAATGAACACACATAAGTCCACTATTTTTATCCTGTTTACTGCATCTGTAATACATCTGCATGACCCTGTGTGTGCAATGATTATAAGGCCAAGCTATGAGACTGAAAAATTTCACTTCCCAGAAAAAGTGGGCGCAATAAATAAAATTATATCATCAGTATCCACAATTTTCTGATTTCATTTAACTTTGCTGTAAGCACACAAATCTTGGGTGGTCATTATCTAAGTGCTAAGGGGATATTCTTCTTACAATAAATCTACCATATTTTTCCTTTAAACTTTATCTGTGGTCTCAAGACTTAAGAGCCAAAATCTTCCTGCTTTTGAAGATCTCCTGCCCTTTCTAAAGTGTAGAGAAAGAAAGTCATGTGGAAATATTAATGATTTACACTAAGTTGCACAATAGTTTGAACACACTATTTTTAGTCAGATTAAATTTTTAAAAATAGAAATTATGTAAAATATCGGGACATCTAACTTGTAATTTACCTGTTATACTGGAAATAAAACCCCAAGTCAGGTTTCTAGTCGGGTGTACAAAATGTGTAAGATCAGCTAGGAGTCAGAGAATGGGATTCACAAAATCCAGTACAAAGTCACCTGAACTAACCATCAACCTCTGTCAATCACTCCACTTTCATCCCTACAGAATACACAAACATGTATGAAAATTGCACCTAGCCTAGTTCAGGAAAACAAACAACCTGAAGAAGTGCTATTCCTTCAGTCCCATTTTACACCCAGTGTCACAGTACTTAATATACCCAAATGAAATATGATACATATGATATAAAATCCTTCTTCTGTCATCTTTAATGTTCATTGGTCACAAATATGTGAGATTATGGGGCTTTTATAGACTGATTACTGCAGAAATACAACTCTGTATAAAATAATGACAAATTTCTTAAGTTATAAAATTAATGAAAATAAATGTTTGACCTAGCTGCTAAGGTATTACCCTGGGAGTCTCAAGGTTCAGACTTTCAAAGAAGAGGTATAGTACAGGAATGACAAACTACACGGTTTTATGTCTTTTTATGTGGAGCAATTTGACACCGTCACCAACCAATTCAGTGGTTTTATATTTACTCAAAGATGAAATCAGGGTGCCTAGATGATTCGACTTGTTGCAAATTAGGCCTTTCCATTGTTAATGGCAGCTGAGCTGAGCAGGTGGCAAATTGTACTTAAAAATTATATTTAGGAACCTAGTGTATTCGAAGACAAAGATCCTTGGCTTTCTCTAATGCAAAATGCATATTCTTTATTACATAAGTTTCTGAAGTCTATTAATTCAAACCTCATTTAAACTTATTAAATCTCTACAAAATAAATCATTCAGACAGGCTGCTAATTATGCATTAATATTTTCTTGGTTATATTTATTACGAGAACAGTCCCTTGTATGATTTCATGGCAACTAACATTCTCCCTAACAAATCCAAGTAATAATTTGTCAGATAGCAAGTATTCTTGGGGGATAGTTTGCATATAGCTAGCCTGTTTTGGAAGCTAAGAGTTCTTACAATATAGGCATGGGCCTCCATGTCAGAAAACCTCCCAGTCATCTTTAATTTGCTCGTGTAAAAGTAATCAGTGAATGCAAATGAGTTTCATGGATTAACTGCAGATCGAGTTACAGGATTAACTTCATGGCATTGTGGCCATGCCTTTAATATATGCAGACCACAATGCTGCAAGGGACCTTTGTTGTATGACAGCTGTTTTAAGTTCTGGCATTCCTCCCAGACCGTTGGTCCACATTCCCTTCTCGTCTTCACACCATGCCTTGTGATCTTATTTCTTCTTGTAGTATGTTGCAAAGATTTATCCTACAAGGAATAACTACCGGCCAAATTTTCTAGACCTGACTTTGGTTTACAAGTGTTATTATATCTCAGTTTTGCAGGTATACAGTAGAATTGGTAAACAGTTGACATGAGTAAGCTGATTAACTAAACTACCGTGAGAAATCAAAAGCCATAACAATCTGCAAAAATATAAACTTCCCAAAATGAAGCAGCTGGGAGTTGATGTACACTCCCACTTCTGAAAGTTAGTCTCTCATATAACACCAAATTGTGATTCCTTTGTGACATCAATTTTTTTTTATGGCTAGTTGAAAAAATCTGATGAATTTCCAAGTTTGGCTGATGCTATCAGAATTTCCTTGTAGGCCAATACATAAAAACAAATTCTTATAACACAAAACTATCCCATCTTGGAAGAGCCTTTAGTGTAGGTTTGTGGGTTTTTCTTCTTGCCAGTTTCAGTATTTGGTTTATGACATAACACTGAAATGCCCTGATTTGCTTTACATCATAATGTGTAACATTTAGCCATCTGTTTTCCATATGCATTGCAGTAGTTCTCAAGGAAGAGAAATGGTCACAGTCTATGCTTATATTTATGAACAGAATTCTAGACAAAAATGCTATTTCTTAGCACTACTATAAGGAGTGCTCACAAGTGTAAAGTTCAAGATGACAAAATTATTTTCACTAAAATTTCATTGTTATTACAGAAACTACACCCATCTTTGTTTGAAACGTGTATTTGTAAGCTTTTCTCTGCAGTTTTGTAGATTGACAAAATATATTTTTTCTTTGACAAAATAAATTTTTACATCAGATTTTTAATGTTATAGTATTCTAGAATTATATCAAGACTCTAAAACACATTTTCTTCACAGAAGATAATGTGGTGCTATGAAAAATGAGCACTGAAATGATGTGATTTATCAGTGCTCATGTAAAGTAAATATTTGTTTCAATCAGTAGTTGTAAATTACATTTCTACTTCTAATTTATCTAGAAATTCAGTTAGGTGCCTAATATTGGTGTCTAACTGAACACAGTGGGAAAATAAATGTCTTTTACCTGAATAAAACACACAGGAGCAAATTGGCATTTTCATATTCTACCACCATAAGCTAACTAAGATTATCCTACAATATATTCAGTTGGGAATGCAAACAATCCACATATCAAAGCTGTGGCTCTGAGGAATTCCTCTGGATAACACATGGGTGTTAGCCTGTGGTCAGGGCCAATCTGCTGGGCTTGCACACAATATACAGAAGTTTACTCAAAAACTGGTGGGTTTCAGAGAGTTAGAAGACTTTGTCTTGCACGGATCATGAGGCTTAGAGACAAAGGGTGGTATCTATTAGAGTTATTAAGCCAGTTTCCTTCTATTAATGACATTGCAGGAGGTAAAAATGATTGACTTCTCAGATGTATCAATTGATT